CGAAAAAGAAGGGTCTGATCCTGTCAAGATACCTGAGTGAATTACTTGTTATGTTTTTCTCTGCTGGTTTATTGCTTAGCAGAAAGCACTACTAATAATTTCGTTGTTTCAGTGAAGTATTGGTAAGTAGTGAAAATCATTTAAGGAGTTAAAAAAATTAGGTATTCAGGCTTGACGATGTGTATACCAAGTTTCAGACTTGTTCAATTTGAAACGGTCAAGATATGAAACCATAAAAAATGTGAGTAAATACTCTGAATATCAAGGGTTGTTAGGCAATTACATGCTTTCATCATGGTTCTTTCTGAGGGAAAACAGTTAGTAGAGAGATCTGCAAGACATATTCAGTGAATAATTACGGACTTTCATAGCTTAGCTACATAAAAATAATAATCCACTTGTTGCTTTGCTACTACTAAAATACTAAAATGTGTGCATACTTTTTTTCCCCAGAGCAAAGCCACTATGACTGTAGATTTGTTAAAAAGTTATCTGAAAAACTTGAAATCCCCTCTGCCCCCACCCCCCCAGCTTTGGCCAATCTCCAAATTATAAACAGCTGAACTGATTTAAATAAAGTTTTCAGTACCATAAAATAAAATAAAATAATAAATTAAAAAAGTTACATCTGGGCTGACAAAAACATGCGCCAAATTTCAGCCCAAAGTGATGTGTGACAACTGTGATATTAAACACCCAGACCTAGGAACTGGGATGGAAATAGAGACAGACTCTTCACTGCACTGGCCCCTTCAGGATTTGGGATTGTAGTGTAGTGTTTATAAGGCCCCAGATGATTAAAGCTTGACTTAGTAGATACATATTTTAGTTATTTAGACCCTTTTGGGTTATTCTTCCAAGGATATACAGGAAATTTTCACGGATAACTCCAGCTAGTGCTAGTGGCATTGGTCGTAGACTGAAACCTTTTTATCTGTGGCTCAAAACCTCCCGTGACTAGTTATGTCAACTTACCTTTTCTGGGCTGATTTTAAGAGATTAACTATGGTAAGTATGTGTTCACGTTTAAAACAGAGGGAAAGGTTCCATAACACATTCCTTGCAAATGCTGGCTAGGGTGGTGCTTAGCAGCACACTTCTGCACATGGCTGGATTTTATGGAGGCTGTGGGCCATAGCTGTTGCACAGACTGCTGGATTACTGCTCAAGTTCCTGTTTCTTTGTGAGACTACCTGGAAAACCAGCAATATTGGCCATTTTTATTGACTAATGCAAACGCTGAGTATGCAAAGCCAAACAGACTTATGCAGAAGAAGCATCATCACTAACAGTAGAAGTATCATCGTTAGTTAACATTTAGCACACACACAAAAAAAATTAGATCATTTTTGTTGGCCAGCAACTTTTATAAAACTTAGTATATGGGAATTAAAGGCCCCAGGTTTTGTTCTTTTTTTTTTCTTTTTTTTTTTTTTTTTTTTTTAAAAAACTTTTTTGGTTTTTGAAAAACGGTCTTTTTTTTTTCTTTTTTTTTTTTTTTTTTTTTTTTAAGAAACTATATTGGTTTATGAGAACAGGACTACAGGCATTGTAGGCTTTTAAAAACAGCCTCACTTTTTTTTTTGCAGACATTGTCAAAGTTTCTCTGGTGTATTTTGACAAGCAGATCTGTTCTGTGGTTTAGTAGGATCTGGGAGTCAAGAATATTTAGTCCTGTTTCACCCCAGGAAATCCATTCTAAAGTTGTGTGTCCCCATGATAAAAAGCTGTTTCATAACCAAAAAGCTCAACAAAGTAACAGCATTTAAGTTTTTCCAGAGGTGGTTTAATTCTCAACTTATTATTATATGTAATCTATGTTGGAACACTTAGGTATTGGAATAATCATTGTTGATTATCCTGTAAGGTCCTTAAATAATACAAAAGTAAGAGAAGGTAAAGAAAGTTACAACACTTAGAACAACATGTAAGATGGATTTACATACTTTGCATTAAATTTAGGGAAGGATGTTTAGCTGGAATACTTCGAAATTTTAAACAGATAAATAGTTTGTAAGTACTAAATAATGACAGGTATAGGTTTTTGATACATATAGCTAATACTAGGTATGCAGAGGGCTGGAGCAGCTGTTGTATGCAGACAGGCTGAGAGAGTTGGGGTTGTTCAGCCTGGAGAAGAGAAGGCTCCGGGGAGACGTTAGAGCAGCCTTCCAGTACCTAAAAGGGGCCTACAAGAAAGCTGGAGAAGGACTTTTTACAAGGGCCTGTAGTGATAGGACAAGGGGCAATGGCTTTAAACTGGAAGAAAGAAGATTTAGATTAGATATCAGGAAGAAATTCTTCACTGTGAGGCTGGTGAGACACTGGAACAGGTTGCCCAGAGAGGCTGTGGATGCCCCATCCCTGGAAGTGTTCAAGGGGAGGTTGGATGAGGCTTTGAGCAACCTGGTCTAGTGGAAGGTGTCCCTGCCCATGGCAGGGGTGTTGGAACTAGATGATCTTTAATGTTTCTTCCAACCCAAACCAGTCTATGATTCTGTGATACTATGATTTTGTAGATTGTTGTCAGCTGTAGTCTTTGTAGTGTTTCATTGCAACTGATGTCCAATTTGAATTAGATGTTTCTCCAAAAAAGAGAGAAAAAGTGAGTTACTTTTGTCAATGTTTTAAAGATGTACTATCTCTATAGCATTCAATGAAGATTTCAGTGTTACTTCACCTTCTGTCACCATTCAGGTGTGTACAAATGCAGCATATAAACTAGACCACTTTCTATATATTTTAAAAGTCTTCCATGACTTTGTAGAGGGTATTTCCCAAACTCAAGGAACACAAACAGAAATGAAGGGATGGAAAGCCTGACTCAGGTTGAGACTCCACTTGGTTAATACACCACACCAAGAAGCCATAGGCTGGCAGACAAGAAGTAGGAATGGAAAGGAACAGTTCCGCAGTTATATCTGAATCCTGGCCATATACAGTCTTTTCCGCTTGGAAACTTCTAGCCCTTCAAGTGGACCAAATTGGGGTTAGTTTAGTGAAGCTTTTATTGTAGTCTTCAGGAAAATACTTAGGCAGCCAGGTGAAGCTGGGAAAGGATATGCAACCACAAAAAGAACCGGGAGCTTCAATTTACTTGTAGATGAGTGCACCTTCCCAGAGTGAGCTGCATCTCATATACACAACTAGTTAGATGTTTGCTGAAGGACATCAGCCACCATTTAGTGCTCCCCTTAGCCAAATTGAGAAAAATGTAGTATATTACTGCTTCTCATTTAAGAGACAAAGTAGGGGATGATGTAAGGGGGTGAGAGAGAGATTATCTTGACAACAATCTTGATTTTATGTTATCACTTTAAAGTAGCACAACCTGCTGTATTAATGAAATTGTGTTCTTGGTTTAAAAGGGCAATTGTTAGCCTGACTTTGTGCTCACTAAAAACATTTCTCCAGTCTTGTTAAATTATTGCACTCATTTCAGATTTTTATGGCTATGCAGCTTACCAGCCCTCATTTCTTTACATTTCATTCATTTTCCTTGTATTGATGATTAATGGAGGATGTCGAACGTTAGAGTGAGCAGGCATCAGCAAATGCAAGATCATAATTAGTTTAGCTGACGAGGGCCTCTGATAGCACTTGCATCTGGATGGAAAAATTACCCTATAGGGAACTGGCTGCTCACCAGGTCTTTTTAGTGATACATTGTGAAACACCCGATGAATCAAATGCCCTTTCAATGCCAAGAAAGTGTTCCAGTCTTGAAGCCAAAATTATGTCTGCAGAAAGCTTTCCATTTGAAATGTATCAGAGTACAATTATAACCATTGTATTTTTTTGGCATGAACACTAGTCTTCTACAGTATGGCCTAAAGTTAAATAAATTACTTAAGTTTTATGAAACCCTGAAATTTTTACTTAAAGTGTTAGTAATTTTTAATTTCTAATAAAATTAGTTTTCACACAGACTGTTTTTCCATTTTTATCTTAGCTGCTGAAGGTTTCTTATTGTTTTTTTTCCTTTGCAAAAAGGGAAGAGAGTTGAAATTCAGATTTTCTTTTCAGCAAAAGAATTGCATTCCTACTTATTAACATTTGTACCCACAAACATAGCCTGACTTTTATTTAAATGAGACCTTTAATGAAATCATTATTCTGTAGAAAGAATTTAGCAAGCAATACTTATAAACGTGTCTAGTTCTAAATATTCCTGGATCATTATGAAAGCTGATGAATGCACAGCTCAGTCTGGTTAAAAGTTGGTTTGTATTTAGGAAACTTGTGCTGTGCCTTTCTTAGCCTGACTAAAATAAAATAAATAAATCTACCCATCGATGAGACAGTGTTTTCTGGGGTTTCAGGTGAAGTTCAAAAGAGGTCTCATTAAGAATACTGTACTTTTATTTGTTTGGCAGGGATCACTCCTTGTTCATAGTGGGCTGTGGGAAATATATGGTAGCTTATACTGATTTTAGAGGTAAATGGGAAAGACTGGAACTGAGTATCATGTATTCAGTTAATGAAGTATAAAGTCTGTTAAAGGAATTAGTGACACAGATACAAACTGTAGTTAATTGAGGTGGTGGTGTTTCAGAATTGTTATTGCCAGTCACACTTTAAAATTGAGCAAACTAAAAAGAAATAATCTGTTGTGAAATGCAGTGAACAAACCAGGAGAAGTTTACAGAATGTTCTCTGTCAGCTTTCAGAGGGGTTTTTCAGAATTTGCTGTTTAGAAACCATCATTAAATGCACAAAACCTGAAGTTCAAAAAGTTAAAGCTGTTATTCTGAAAAGGCTTTGGTGTTTCACACACCTCATCCATCACTCTAGGGTTAATTATAATGAAAATCAGTGGTGCCTATTAAGCACAATTGAACCTGACCTCATTATGGGCAGTGTGGTTTTATACTGTCATTGTTGCCAGTCTAGAGACAAAACTCCTGTGTTGATTTGTCCTAACTCCGCAGCTCATGTGACTCACCTCTGACCTGTTTTTTTTTCTGTGTGTTTTTTTTTCTTTTTCTTCCCTATTTCAGAGACGTAGAGGCTCGGGTGTTTTTTGTGCCAATTGCCTGACCACAAAGACCTCTCTCTGGCGAAAGAATGCAAATGGTGGATATGTATGCAATGCGTGTGGCCTCTACCAGAAGCTTCACTCGGTAGGAAGAACTTACTGGTTTGTTCAGAAAAAAGAGGGGTTATACAGCTAACTTGGGCATCTGTGATCTTGTCTGGTTGTGTGATTAGTACCACTCCCTGGCCTGCAGTTAATTTCCTAACAGGGTTTTGCAGTATGGTCACTTTGGGATCAGATGTGATTCATTATGAAACAGGCTGGGATGCTGTGGGTAGACGTGTTTGAGATCACCAGTGATGCATTTAATTATTTTGATAAAAAATAAGGGGAAAATTATTTCTTTTCTGGGAATTCCATTTGAAGGCATACAATACATTGTGATGAAGGCTGTCTAAATTCAAGAGCCCTCATGTTCGCAATTAAAAAAAAATAATTCTTAAAGTTAGACATCACATCTATATCAAAAATATCCCTTGCTGTGGTTTCTGTTTCCTTTCACTTCTCTTCCCCCCTTTATTCTTGACAGTAAATTTCCTGGAGATATGGGGTGGTGGGCTTTTTTGTTCTTTTTTCTACAGTTCTTACAGTCTGCTGGAGGATTCTGAAATAACTCAACAAGGAAGCTACTCACCTGATGGCACTCATCACTTGGTGAGGGGAAGATGCACCATCCCTCAGGATCAGGCAGGGAATAAGTAATAATCATGGACTGTCTATATTGCTTTTCATCTTACTGACATTTGACTTGATCCTGAAAGATGTTGAATGCTCTGGTCCAGGTCCAGGAAAGCCATGCTTAAGTGTTTCCTTGGATCAGTGCCAAAATGCTCAGAATCTTTTAGGTTAAGACCCACTAGTTAAATATTATCCCTGCTATCTTTAATAGAAGCATATGGGAGAGCCAGGTGACCAAGATTTGACTCTAATTAATTAATTTTACAACATTCCCATGAAGTTAAAAAGTGTTACTACTGCTCAGAAGTAGAAACTGAGGCAGTCTTTGGGAGTTTGCCAAGGCAACATAACAGTTCAGGCTTAGAGCCCAAATCAGAAATCTATGTTATGGCTAAGAGTGTGTGTTTTTTAAAACTCTTTTCAGAAATTCCATTTTCAAAAAAAAAAGACCCAGTTAGGAAACTATATTTCAAATGCATCAAGACTTCCAAGTATCCACGCCTATTTCTCTTTAAATTTGAGGCATATGCTTCTAAATCAATTAGTAGTATCTGTGAATTTTGCCCTTGGTCTTGTGTACAGGCCATATAACAATCCTATTTACTTAAGATCCTGTCCAGCCAGCCCGCTTAATAAAAAAGAAAAAGATTCCAATTTTCAGAAGTAGCAGGACCATCACCTCTCTGAAAGGTTAGCTCTGTTTGCCATGGGCTGTCATTCTGAGACCTGTAACTGTTTTTAAGCTCCAGAACACCCTAGGCAGTCAGATAGCATCTGAGCAGCAGAAGATGGACTAATGCACGATCTCTGGCCAGCGTCTTGGCTGGGTCTTGCTGAAAATATCATCTTCCTGGAGATCTCTTGAAGCTCTAGATATAATAACAATTTAAGGAAATTGATCAGTGGTGAGCATCCACAAAGATTTTAAGGAGGACAGTTTGGCTTTTTAACATTAATTTGTCATTTGAATCCAGTTACTTGTAGGACTTCCATTCACAGCCTCCATTTTTCCTTTTTTTAATATACTTATCTAAACTGGTGTTGGACCTTACCATGATTATTAACATAACTTATTGAATAGATAAAAGCTATAAGAATCAGTTTTGAATTCAAACACCTAACTCAGATAATTCTTATGAACCAGTAAGAACAAACTAGTGTGCTTCCAACAATAATAATTAGCAATACAATGTCAAACTTTATTTCAGGTATATAGAAAGTAAGAAGCTGACGCTATCTTTTAGCTCCACTGTTCAAGCATGACAATAACCTGTCATTCAGTGGACATCTGACATTAGTATCTTCAATTGAACTTTGACCAAACAAATGCAAAGAATTTATTTAAGCTTCCACTCTGCTGTGGTATGATAGCAACTCCATTGTAAGTTAGAGTCTGAAATAACCAAACGAATCTCTCCTTTGAGACACCTTTTGAGACAGTCCCATGCAAAGGGATGTTCTTTAGACTGAAACCAGAAAGATGAAAGTTCCTTTTATCTGTCTGCCTGTCTATCTCTTCATGAAAAGTTACAGTAATTAATTGTCATTTATGTTTTTGAATTAAGGAGTCTAGGATGATGCAGTTATTAGGTAAATGTCTGAAACTAAAAATTCAAGGGAATAGAACTGATCCCTGCTGTGAGTCACCCTGTTAAACTAAATTATGCTACACAGCTGAGTAAAATTCACCTATAGTAGGTTTGCATGTTTCATATCTCTCTTTTGATTGGATTATCACTATCTAGAACTATTGTCCTCATTAACTCAAGAATGTGTGTAAGACTTATCTCTAACGTCCCTTTTTTACTTTTATTTAATAAGAAGAAAAATGTATGGTCTGTCAGATACTGCTAGGTGGTAGTGACTGACAAATGTTAACATGGTAGTGATTTCTGCTGTAAGTCACATTTCTATTTCTGTGATACCCTTGAATAAATTTTCAATGTGTTTTCAAAAACGTTCAGTCTGTCTAGGGGTCATTTACATTAAACTTGCCAGTTTTTTTGTATTTCTCTCCTTTAATGCAGACAACTGTGTTAAGAAATGTGTAGTAATATTCCAATGGTCAATTATTAAAATAGTTTTAGTGAAAAAATGCAGTTCACTACAAACATATACACAATATTCACATTTATTGACAGAGAAAGGTATATCCCTTGTCTCCCCAGAATCATGAATTCGAGCATTATTATTGTGGTACTGTTCCTCATTTTTTAATAGCTCTAACTTGGTCATGGAAAACTAGATTTTATTCCATAGTGATTCCTTGGCCACATCTTCATACTGCTTCAGTGAGGAGTTACAGCATATTACTCTGGGATTAGACATACATGATCTTCTAGTGGAGAGATCACTCTAATTTCCCATTGTATCTAGGAAGTCTAATCACAATACTTTAATGAACTATTTGTTGAATTTTGTGATTATTTTTAAAGTTACTGATATATTTGGAGTAGGGAGATTGCCAATTGATATAGAGATGGCAAAAAAAATCTTAGTGATCGTACTCAATATATTATGTATAACATACAACTAAGGGTCTGATATAGAGCATTTTACAAGTAAAGTTCTGGTAATATCTCCACTATTTTCTAATTTTAATACCTCACTAAAAATCAAGAAGAGAGCTTAAACTTTTCTGTCTGCCTCAGTTGCAACCTAATACAAAATATTTCTATCATCTGCACCTTACTACTGTGGGTAAGGAAAAAAATCAGTAGCTTTACTCCACTGAATAGTCTGTTTTAATCAGCTAAAGACTAGTCAGATGAGTACAGTCATTTGCATGCTGAAGAATTTTTAAGTTGGACTTACAGCCTTTAACTCCTAATGGCATGTAATTTTGAAGGGCCAGAGCTCCAAACAGGTGTGTGAGGGTCCTTAATCACAGATATGAAGATGTTTCTTTTAACTACTTCCACGATCAGACTTCATACCTGTAGCATGAAGAGTAAGATTAAAAGTATTTCCAAACTGTTGAAAGGTTATCTGAAAGCCATATGAAAATGGTCTGTAGTGTATAAATAAAAGTTTAATAAGAGCAACATCAACAATATTGTAAGGTCTCACCCAGCATGTCAGTATGTCAGTGTTACAATTGTCATAAAAAGGTGAGGAAATTACACTGAGCTTGTAATAAAGAGTATATGCTTATTCATATTAATTGGCTGTTGATTCTGCAAACTATAAAGTTTATTTGCATAGAATTTACATAGAAAATATTCTATTTTTATCTAACATGATTTTTCCTCGACTTTGATCTGTTTGAGGAGGCTGGTTCAGGTGCTGTTTTTCTGCTAAGTTTAGATTTTGTTTATTAAAAATCTAAATCAAAGTGTATATTTCCTCTGGTTCAGAGTTTTAATAGAAAGTAGAATCTTAGCAAGTAGCTACACGCCTAAAATGTAGTTAACCATTAAGAATAAGCCAACCTCAGGGAAATAAATAGGTGAAAGAGGAGAGAAAGATGGCAAGTCAAGAGAGAAACTAGATCTCTGCAAATAATAGAGTGAGCACTCCTCCAGCTCTGGATATTTTTGTATTAGTTCAAAGTTATGAATAGATATAAATTATCTTACATTCAAGGTACAAATTGTTTTGAATGTTGACTGTAAGCCAAAATTTAATCTGCACTTCAAAACAATGTTAAAAAGAAAATTTCCAAATAAACATATAAGTGGAATACCGTGTGGGCACTTTTCTGGCCTCCAACCAAAATAGGATTATGTGTGCATTTGGATGAGACAAATTGCAACTGCCAGCACACCAGACTGAATGACTTTTAGGTAGTTTTTGTTGTTTTAACATCTGCCCAGTAGAGCAACACATACCGACGTTACAGCACCATCTTTCATTCACATACCATTGCCTTCCTGTTGAGGGGCCTTTCAAAGAGGCCTGGCTGCTGTCGTTCCTTGTACTATTTTTTCTTCATGCAAAAATATTTTCAGTTCTCATCTAAATAGGCCACCTACCTGAGCTGATGTGAGGAGGTAGCAAATGGAACAGAAGTCTTCACTTGGTTCTTGCCTCTGCCTCTTCTGCAATGCTTTTTTCTTTACAGACCCTTTTTTCCCCGCCTTCAGGGGACACCTTCTGTCTCTCATGACTTAGTAGCACAAAATCAGTAACATTTAGAAAGAAATACAGAAGGGATAAAGGAAGGGGAGTTGGTACCAAAGTCCCAGGTAGACCTTTTCATGCATAGGACAGGTTTTCTTGGGCTTTCTTCTCCATCTTGCCTAGTCCCTTTCCAGCCACCGTCATCCCACTCACCACCACAGTGGACCTGCAGCCCTTTTGCTAGGTGACAGCAGTGGCGGTCAGCAAGCCCTGTATTTGCTTGCATTTTCTATCCATGTCAAAGCGGGGGTGGGTATCAAGGTAAGTGTTACTCAATTCTTGCCAGTGTGACCTGTGCAACCCCTGCTCAATACCAACTGTAGTGACATGGTACATAGAGTAACACTAGTGTGTAAGGCCATGCATCTCCCACGTCATCCTCAGCTCTCAGCACCCACTTTCAGCACATCTCCCCCAGAAGTTTTCAGGAGTAAGGGGTAATAAATGCTTTGACAGCTTGGCTTCATGCCTTTTTAAGTAAACAGATGCAGTATGTCTAAGGCAGTTGACTTAGTTTGGTAAAACAAACCAATTCATAGTTTACTTCTAGCATGAGGGACCAGGAACCAGCATTTGGGTTGAAATTTGGTCATTCCATAAAACTCTTATAATATTGCTCTTCACAAAACAAAAGATAAATTTGCGTGAGCGTGGTCTCACAGATTTGTTTAATGTGTCTTTCTTTTTTCCTTTTGTTCATTATGTGTGTGTTTCATGCAGACTCCCAGGCCTTTAAACATCATTAAGCAGAACAATGGTGAGCAGATCATTAGGAGACGAACAAGAAAGCGCCTTAACCCGGAGGCACTTCAGGCTGAGCAGCTAAACAAACAGCAGAGGGGTAGCAGTGAGGAACAAGTCAATGGAAGCCCCTTAGAGAGGAGGTCAGAGGATCATTTACCTGAAGGTCATCAGAGAGAAATTCAGCTTCCCAGCCTCAGCAAATATGAGGCCCCAGGTTCATTGACTAAAAGCCATTCTGCTCAGCAGCCAATATTGGTCAGCCAAACTCTGGATATTCACAAAAGGATGCAACCTTTGCACATTCAGATAAAAAGTCCTCAGGAAAGTACTGGAGACCCAGGAAACAGTTCATCGATATCAGAGGGGAAAGGAAGCTCAGAGAGAGGCAGCCCGATAGAAAAATACATGAGACCTGCGAAACACCCAAACTATTCACCACCTGGAAGCCCTATTGAAAAATACCAGTACCCACTTTTTGGACTTCCGTTTGTACACAATGACTTTCAGAGTGAAGCTGACTGGCTGAGATTCTGGAGTAAATATAAGCTGTCTGTTCCTGGGAATCCACACTACTTGAGTCATGTGCCTGGCCTACCAAATCCTTGCCAAAACTATGTGCCTTATCCCACCTTTAATCTGCCTCCTCATTTTTCAACTGTTGGATCAGACAATGACATTCCTCTAGATTTGGCGATAAAGCATTCCAGACCTGGGCCAACTGCAAATGGTGCCTCCAAGGAAAAGAGTAAGGCACCACCAAATGTAAAAAATGAAGGTCCCTTGAATGTAGTAAAAACAGAGAAAGTTGATAGAAGTACTCAAGATGAACTTTCTACCAAGTGTGTGCACTGTGGCATTGTCTTTCTGGATGAAGTGATGTATGCTTTGCATATGAGTTGCCATGGTGACAGTGGACCTTTCCAGTGCAGCATATGCCAGCATCTTTGCACGGACAAGTATGACTTCACAACTCACATCCAGAGGGGCCTACACAGGAACAATGCACAAGCTGAAAAGAATGGAAAACCTAAAGAGTAAACCTTAGCACTTAGCACAATTAAACAGAAATAGGTTTCCTTGATGGGAATTCAATAGCTTGTAATGTCTTGTGAAGACCTATAAAGCACTTCATATAGAGAGCATGCCTTATCCAATATTAAATCCCTTGTTATTTTCTTTTTTTCCTTTTTCTTCTTTTTTTTTCCCCCTTTTTTTTCTTTTTTTTTTTTTTTTTTTTTCCTTTTAAATGAGTGGGTTACCAAGAAAAAAAGAGCAGTTGAATGGTGGCCAGAAGGGGAAGAAGTAATTATATGGGACATGACCCACCAAAGCTAGCCAGAATGCGGTGAATCATGGCGAATAACCTTGAGAAAGTTCTACCAGACAATTAATACCTTTGCTGTTGTGTAAGAGACATAACTGGCAAGAGTGCAAAGATGTGTATATGTATATACTGCTGCAGGGGTATAGTGAACATATGCACATTGTATATAAGAACTAGACTTGTTAAATATACAGATATTAAAAGGTCATTTTCTTTTCTTTAATTTGGGCTAATTTCTGCCCTACAACATGCCTTAGGATCACTTTGTCCTCAAAGCTTTGGCAGCAATTCCATCTAGATGTTTCTCAGACTCAGCTGAATTTTAGCTACCATTTTATCACTACATTCTTTCTGGCACACTTTAGTCTAGGAAAACCATTTTGTGCAAATGAAGTCTCTAATACAGAAGCCACACTCCGGGTTTAATTTGCATAGAACAAGGTAACCTGCTGTATTTTATTTTAATATATTTTTAATATATTACATTTCTAAACCTTAAATTCTAAGTTTACTTCTCCACAGGCTTAACATTGCTATACATACCAGTCAATCCCTTCAGTAGACTTATACCAGCTTTTACTAAGTAGCATTAAATGTCTTCATAGTACTTTTTAATACTTAAAGCTTTTTAAAAACTATCCATGAAGGGAAAGCTCCTCAGCATAACTGCTCAGGGAAATAGGGCTAAATAACTAAATATTAAATAATTGGTTAAAGGTGCTGTTAGACGAGCCTCCATGCTTGCTACAAGGGTGTACAAGAACTGACTTTAATCATTTTCATTATAGTGTCCCAACCAGTAGTTTATTATTTTGCCACAGGGATGTAGAAGATATTACAAGCTACTGGATGCACTGTCAGATTAACTTATTTCATTAAAGAAGTTGGGAGAACAAATAGAAAAAACCTTATTTTTCTAGTAAATATTAATGTATTACATTTCAAATAATGGTGCCTGACATATTGAATAATTATTTTCTACAGTGTACGTATGCAACAAAGATATTCCATCATGCATTAGAGTCAGTTCTGGCTCTGCCTCGCTGTTTACATTTGCAAATGTAGCAAACAAGGTAATGAAGCAACTATTTCTATTGCAGTAGGTATCTTTTTTCTGTGTGTGTGCATTAAAGTTGTAAACGATAACATGAAATGAATGAAATTTGTTGATATTAATGGTATGGAAAAACAAGAAGGAAATGAAAATATTTTTATGCCTACTTAGGAAAAAAAAGGGTAGCACTATTCATTCCAAGTACTTTTGTATTCTTAAGCTCTTAACTCACATTGTTATGCTTAAAATGATAAACATATATCCTCTTTTTATTGCTTTGTCTGTGTTTCAGAAGAAACATTTCAGAAATTATTTTGATAAGTGCTGTTTGACGATGCAGCACTGATGTTTTATTGCATTCTGTAGTAGCATTGCACTCCATTTTTACAATATTACGCAGTTGCTTTTTTGTTTTGTTTGGGTTTGTTTCTTTTTCGCAGTGCAGGGTCTTAGTTCCTTGTGGTTGGATGGCAGGTGTAGCTCAACTGGTTCATGAATGTTGCAGCGAATGAAGTTTAAAATGTCTTTCTGATATTATGTTGTCTTTTATTTCTCCATTCATGCATTTTATTTTTTAAAACATTCTATAAAAATATCTCTGGACTAAGTCCTTACTTGAGATTATATGTAAAGGGTCCTATTCTGATCTCACTTACATGCCGCCTTTCTCAGATTTTCATGTAATTGAAACTAAAGCATCATTAAAAAAAAAAAAAGTTCTTGTATTTAACTTATCTGAATCTCACCACTCTCCCTTCTAGAATTTGGTGCACTTACAAGATACTTAACCAGATAGACAGGGAGGTGGAAGATAAAAGGAGAGGTCATAGGAAATGTCTAATAGGGGTTGGCAAAAGGAAAACTAGGGAGGAACTGGCCTAAACGTTCAGCACTTTGATAGTCTTTTGAAAAATAATGTGCCTAAAGCAGCTGGCAATGAACATCACCATGCATGAGAAGCACTTACACAGTTGATCACCAAAGGTCTTGCTGACCTTGGCAGTATTTTAGGTGTTACATTTTCGCACAGATGAAACGTTATTGCACAGTTTCTCTGATTTGTTAGGCACAGACAGGCTATTGTTCAGCATTAGGCTTGCATTCCTTCCTGCTCCACCCATTGCTTCTATACTGATGAGCAGCATATGGAAAGTCCCACTCAATCTGTTCACAGCTGAGTTCTATAACCCTTCAATAGTGTTCTAGGCTAGCAAAGGATATTGGGCCACATTCTTCTCTTTTTATTTTTTAGATGAATCTCCAGCTTGATACCAGTGCCAGGCAAAGACTGGTTATGTTTTTACTGTTGTTCTCCAATAATAAGTTCTGACTTGGTTTTTGTGGATTTATTTTTGTTGGGTATTTTTTTGTTTCTTTTTTTTTTCTCTGGGGACTGAAGTAGATTGCCCTCGTTTTGTTACGTCAGGGTCCAGTGTGTCCTTTTCAGCTTTTCCAAGAAGCATGTTAGACTCAGTAAGCAGTGATTTTTATCAGCCTCAGAGGTAGCTGCCTGCCGGTTTTCAGTAGTTACTGGTTTGACTTACTTCATCTAAGACCTACCAGTTCCTGTGGCTTCTTCATTGATAGAAGCTGCATCTTCATGGCAAAATGTTTTAGGGATGGGGACATGCGCATTGTAAGACTTGAGCACCACCCTGTACTTCATAGCACCTCTTGCTAAACTCAGAAGCAGAGGCCAATAACAGGAAATACACATATCAGGGTTTGGGGATGAGGAGAAATGAAATCTTATGAGTGCAAAGAACAAGACAAATTTTTGAATGTTAGTATTGCACACCTTGATGGTGCAAATAAAATTTGAAAAAGTTCATTGTTCTTGCCATGACATATTGAGATGTTCTAAGATTTCTGCTTTGTAAGAAATGGGATTTTGCCATAGCCTGTTCTCTTTGATTGGGGTGGGAGGAGCACAGTTCTGTTTCTTAACAAAAGAGAGGTGACTCCATCCCTCTCCAGACCCCCTCACAATGGATATTAATCGAAAGAAAAATAAATCCTGAAACTGAAAAAGAAAAATCTTATTTAATAACTCTCAGATGGAAACCAATGGTAGCACACACAAGTAATTACTGTTACAAGTAACACTGCATTTTTATCAACTTAGAGCACTAAAAATTGAACTTTCAAAGACTCACTCTTTGTTCTGAATTTGTCGGTGTCTTTAAAGTGTACTTCTCTTACTGAGGAATGGTAGTGTGAGATCTTAAAATGTATCTCAAATTGGACCACAAAATAAGTGGATTGTTCAAAACCAGAGGATTTGTAGTGCCTGTCATTAATGAGATTGCAGAACAGGAACAGTGTTTCTATTAACACCTTGTATAGCAGGAGCCGTCATGCAGCATCTTCTGCAAACCAGACTGTCTCTAAGCTATCACTTTGTGGCTGGTGACCCCTGAGTTAATGCAGCAGGAGACAAAGGTTTTTCAGAGCACAGTTTGTGTTCAGATGCTAACCTCAGAGTGCTTTCCAAAAGAAGCTTTGCACCTAGTTGCTACTGTGCTGATGAAACCCTGCTGAATTTTTCATGGACCATCCAGAAAGGGGGGACACTAGATACTTCTATCTTCATTTTGCCTAAAAAATGTACTGGTACACACTGTGACAGTTTTAAAGAGAGAGAACTTAGAGTCATCTCAAAAAGTTGAGGCATGCTGTGGGCGAGACATTATTTTTGCAGTTAAAGGGGCAGCAGGATAAAAGTGACTGATGCTAATTATATACAGTGCTGAAACATAGTGGTTGTGCAATGGGGAGACCTGATTTGGCATCCGTGGATTAGTACTCAGTTCAGGGACGGACATTCAAATTCATCTTTGGACTGGACAGTGTTGCTTTGTAGTCATAACTACTTGCTTTATGTGCTAAGGATGTTGTCTACCATCTGCTTTTTGCCCAGGATATCTAAATATATTCCCATTCTTGCTCCTGTATTGATTTTTCTTGGCTGACTTAACATGCTAATTCCTAATACTGGTCAGGAAAAGCCAAAGAGATTAGAAGTTCACTTCTGTTCAGCCAGAAACATAGATATATTTCCTTCTGCTTCTGTGGAGACAGTTATGCTTGGCAAAGAGTAGCGAGCAATTTGTCAACGTATCCCAAATATGATAGATAAGTGAGAAATCGCTTCTAAACTTCTCTGTAAAGTTAAGATGGGCCAAGTGGAGTGATTTACATAATTTCCTCACCTCAGAATAGGATTTCTCCCTACCATCTTCCTCACAACTTCATTTCATTCAGCCAGTTCTGGAAAGCTGGCAGTTGGTGAGATGCTACCTATATAGTAAACACATATACCCCAATTTACCTCTTTTTAAGAGAATAAAAGACAATAATTTAATGGCTGCCAGCCAGATAAATATCAGTTTCTTTTCATTTTTGGGTACACCTAATAAAGTAAATTTCTTAGAATAAACATTTTGACAGCAACCACTGTTTTCCATTCCTATCATTTTGGCCTCTGAGCTCTATGTAGAAGGAGAACAGAAGAAAAGGAAACATCTCAAAATGCCATTGTAAATTTAGCTTACAGAAAATTCACCAGCAGGAAAAGGAAAAAAAAAAAAAAGAAGAAAAAAAAGTACTTCATAAAGAATTACTTCATGTTGCTAAAAACCATCATTAAACTTGTAGCCTTGATTTGACTCTAGAATGCTGGCTCTTAATGTTTTGTCCTTACAACACATGGATGTGTTCTTTGTTTTGTTTTGGTTTGGTTGTTTTGTTTTGTTTTGTTTTTTGGTTTTCATAGTGCATGTTCATTTCTACTCACAAACATGTTCTTGGTGTATTTCTTATGCAAACAATCTTCAGGCAGCAAAGATGTCTGTTACATCTAAACTTGAATAATAAAGTTTTAC